TACATTTTGGGGTACATGGGTACAGATTAGTGGTAGCGAGACGGAGCAAAGGCAAACCTCTTGGGAATGGACACATTTAACAACGATAAAACACTGTTGAGGAACGATCAACAGCGAAAAAATACAAGGCATCCTGGCAACTCATTTGTATTTTTCCAGCAGAATCTTGCTCCATGACACACTTCCAGAAAAATATGACTTCATCGAAGAGAGTGGGCTAAGTGTTCTAAATTGGGCCTGGAAACTCTCCTGACCTCAACCCAACTGAAAATCTAGGGTAAAAACCCAAAACCCGCAGGATCGCAAAACGGGATTGTTCAACTATGGAGAAGCTAATTGCTTTTGAACCATTCCATAATTGCTTCTGTTATTAGGACTTGGTACCAAGAGCAAGAACTTACCAAAAAGTGTTCAGCATTGGTCGATTCCATACCAGAAAGTTTAGAAATGCTTATAAAAGCAAAGGGTAGTCATATCTCTTATTATATCAGTTATCTGTCATATTATTGCCACGTATTTTCTAAATCAACATTAATTTTCCAAATAAATGTCCCATTTCATTACTGTGCCAGTTAACTTTACCACTGTTGTACTCTTGCAACTCTAAGACTAGAAATGTTAGTGTGTTATTTAAAGAATGCAGATATTATGTGAAGTAATTTGTAATAGAATATGAAATATGAATAATATTCCTTCATTAATTACCAATGATGACAAAATAAAAGCAAAAATATATATCCTTCACATTCCTTATTAGCATTTTTCTATCGCACTGAAATAATCTAAAGTTCTGCTCATAACAAGAAAATATGTAACTTCGCGGAGTCATTTTTGTTATGTCGTATATAATAGACAGGAAGTGGAAAGTCTAGTATCTTGATGGATTTGAAAATGAATGATTTAACTCACGATTCATGAGGCCCTGAAACATTTATACTAAAAAAAAAATTGTGGAGAGATGAAAAGATCAAATTAACCCAAATAACAGTTTTATGAAATGAAAGTAAAACGACGTCTTTTCATTTTTGTCATTTTATTTTTCCAGAGATTTGTTGCCCTTACCCTTACAGCAGAGTGGTAGATGAGTGCTTCTATGTGAGTTCTATCTCACTTAACTGGCCTGATGCTCGCCAGTATTGTCAAGGTATGACAGGTGACTTAGCCTCACCCAGGAACCTCTACGGCCTCAAGTCATTCATTATCAGTACTGCAGGTTTGTATGTTCTGTTGATGATGTGTAATTTATGTTTGGTCGTTGATGTCTCTTGAATATTTAAGTTTGTGTTATGTATACAACATTAATGTTCCTTGTCTTCTTGTCCTTGTCTTCTTGGATGTGTAAAGAACTAAGGAGGTGAGATGGACTGAAAAATGAATTGTGTGAATAACCCATTAAGAGATCTTCAGCAAATACAGTAATGAAGAGAGACAATTATTTTTTGGGAGAACATGATAGTATGTACATGAGGAGACATATAGAAGTTCATTATGCTGGATATACTTGAGGTTTGTTATAAGCTTTATATAAGATGTGTCTTAAGTTAAGGTTCACACTTGGACTGTCTTAGATCCGATCTACGAATTCCACTTGAGTTCCATCAATACTGAGACGTGATAGAGCTGCCATGGAGTCTGGAGGTGCTGCTGCTATCATTTTCTTTTTGTAGTTACGTAGTATTTTATACCTGATGGTCAAATACCAGTTAAGAATATGACTTTTATTTATAATCTTTGAAATATTCCTGGAATCATCTGGTAGTAACCAGCGGCACACTGCCACTTTTCTGCATGGGAAACCCAAGATTTTCTCAATTTTTTTTTAGTGTCATAACCTCCATATAGTTCAATATAAATGATTAATTGACATATGCTAGAAAAAAAATCACTTAGCAAAATAAATCAGTAACCCCAACACAAACAGAAAAATCCAATGTACTACCATAGAATCTTTTTCTGAAAAATTTATTTTTGATTCGAATACGAAAAGCACTATTCCCCTCCATCATTCGTTTGTTTTAGTTTAGTCATGACAAATGAGGTGAATCAAACCTGGTATAGCCGACAATAACGGATTCTTTGGTTTTGTGTTACAGTCATTATACTTAGTTTGGTAAGACACATGTGCAACACTTAGGTGTCTTTATTCCAAAACGTCTCACTTACATAATAAGCTTCTTCAGTCGAGTACAGAAAAGTTGACAGGAGCAGTAGAGACGTAAAGACGATGTAATCAGTCCATCAGCCTTGAAGACAGTTTTGAGGTGGTCAGTCCCTCAGCCTGGGGAAAAGATTTTGTTGTTGTTTACCATAACCTGAAACATTGTTGCAGACTATGGTAAAAAATATCCTGTCATTTAATATTTTAATATTTATTACTGAGTTTGTTGGTATATGTCTACCTCTTCAGTACAGGAAAGACTGTGCTATAACTTAAATTGCCAGGCATACCATCTAAAGGGGACAAAAAGATACAAAACATCCAGGCCATGGGAAAACCTGGGTAGCCACAGCCACTCAAGAGGGAGAGGTTTTTTAGTGCCAGGAAGGAAAAAAAACTGGCAGGAAATGGCAGAAATCGTACACCAAATCCAGTCATTCCTGGAGTGGAACCACAGTCGATGGCCTCCACTCCAAACCAACAGATACAGATACTAATGCCGGAAAAAAAATCCCCCCCTAGTACCAACAATACCACCAGTCCGATAACATTCTTCTTGGCAAATATACAGGGTCTAAAGCCAGCAACAAATGAATTTTTTATGAGAGAGCCACAAAATTTGATTAACACAAGCCTATCCGATGTTATCCTGACGCCAAATGACTTCGAACAGGCGATAAATGACATGCCCATGCACTCTGCCCCAGGGCCAGACTCATGGAACTCCGTGTTCATCAAGAACTGCAAGAAGCCCCTATCACGAGCCTTTTCCATCCTATGGAGAGGGAGCATGGACACAGGGGTCGTCCCACAGTTACTAAAAACAACAGACATAGCCCCACTCCACAAAGGGGGCAGTAAAGCAACAGCAAAGAACTACAGACCAATAGCACTAACATCCCATATCATAAAAATCTTTGAAAGGGTCCTAAGAAGCAAGATCACCACCCATCTAGAAACCCATCAGTTACACAACCCAGGGCAACATGGGTTTAGAACAGGTCGCTCCTGTCTGTCTCAACTATTGGATCACTACGACAAGGTCCTAAATGCACTAGAAGACAAAAAAAATGCAGATGAAATATATACAGACTTTGCAAAAGCCTTCGACAAGTGTGACCATGGCGTAATAGCACACAAAATGCGTGCTAAAGGAATAACAGGAAAAGTCGGTCGATGGATCTATGATTTCCTCACTAACAGAACACAGAGAGTAGTCGTCAACAGAGTAAAGTCCGAGGCAGCTACAGTGAAAAACTCTGTTCCACAAGGCACAGTACTCGCTCCCATCTTGTTCCTCATTTTCATATCCGACATAGACAAGGATGTCAGCCACAGCACCGTGTCTTCCTTTGCAGATGACACCCGAATCTGCATGACAGTGTCTTCCATTGCAGACACTGCAAGGCTCCAGGCGGACATCAACCAAATCTTTCAGTGGGCAGCAGAAAACAATATGAAGTTCAACGATGAGAAATTTCAATTACTCAAATATGGTAAACACGAGGAAATTAAATCTTCATCAGAGTACAAAACAAATTCTGGCCACAAAATAGAGCGAAAAACCAACGTCAAAGACCTGGGAGTGATCATGTCGGAGGATCTCACCTTCAAGAACCATAACATTGTATCAATCGCATCTGCTAGAAAAATGACAGGATGGATAATGAGAACCTTCAAACTAGGGAGGCCAAGCCCATTGATGACACTCTTCAGGTCACTTGTTCAAACTAGGCTGGAATATTGCTGCACACTAACAGCACCTTTCAAGGCAGGTGAAATTGCTGACCTAGAAAATGTACAGAGAACCTTCACGGCGTGCATAACGGAGAAAAAAACACCTCAATTACGGGAGCGCTTGGGGTTTTCCCTAAACCTGTATTCCCTGGAACGCAGGAGGGAGAGATACATGATTATATACACCTGGAAAATCCTAGAGGGACTAGTACCGAACTTGCACACGAAAATCACTCACTACGAGAGCAAAAGCTTGGCAGACGTTTGCAACATCCCCCAATGAAAGCAGGGGTGTCACTAGCACGTTAAGAGACCATACAATAAGTGTCAGGGGCCCGAGACTGTTCAACTGCCTCCCAGCATACATAAGGGGGATTACCAACAGACCCCTGGCAGTCTTCAAGCTGGCACTGGACAAGCACCTAAAGTCGGTTCCTGACCAGCCGGGCTGTGGCTCGTACGTTGGTTTGCGTGCAGCCAGCAGCAACAGCCTGGTTGATCAGGCTCTGATCCACCAGGAGGCCTGGTCACAGACCGGGCGGCGGGGGCGTTGACCCCCGGAACTCTCTCCAGGTAAACTCCAGGTAAACTTGCAGCAGTATTTACAGCAGTATTTGCCGCAATATTTGCTGTGGTATTTACATCAGTGTTTGCTGCATTATTTACAGTAGTATTTGCAGCAGTATTTGCTGCAATGTTTGCTGCAGTATTTGCATCAGCATTTACAACATTATTTGCTGCAGCAATTGCTGCAGTATTTCCAGCATTATTTGTTGCAGTATTTACAGTAGTATTTGCTGGAGATTTCATAGCAGTGTTTGTTGCAGTATTCACAGCAACATTTACAGCAGTATTTACAGCAGAATTTGTGCAGTATTTACAGTAGTATATGCTGTAGTATATACAGCTGTATTTACTGCAGTATTTACAGCAATATTTACAGCAGTATTTACAGCAGTATTTGCAGCAGTATTTGGAGCAGTGTTTGCTGCAATATTTACAGTAGTATTTTTGGCAATATTTACAGCAGTATTTACAGCACTATTTGTTACAGTATTTACGGTAGTATTTGCTGCAGTATTAAGAGGAATACTTGCAACAGTGTTTGCTGTGGTATCAACAGCAGCATTTGCTACAGTATTTACTGCAGCATTTAGAGCAGTATTTGCAGTGGTATTTGCTGCAGTATTTACATCAGTATTTGCTGCAGTATTTACAGCAGTATTTGCTGCAGTATTTACAGCAGTATTTGCAGCAGTATTTACATCAGTATTTGCTGCAGTATTTACAGCAGTATTTGCTGCAGTATTTACATCAGTATTTGCTGCAGTATTTACATCAGTATTTGCTGCAGTATTAACAGCAGTATTTGCTGCAGTATTTACAGCAGTATTTGCTGCAGTATTTACAGCAGTATTTGCAGCAATATTTACAGCAGTATTTGCTGCAGTATTTACAGTAGTATATGCTGTAGTATTAAAAGCAATGTTTGCAGCAGTATTTGCAGCAGTATTTGCTGTAGTATTTGCAGCATTATTTACACCAGCATTTGCTACAGTATTTACTGCAGTATTTAGAGCAGTATTTGATACAGTATTTACAGCAGTATTTGAAGTAATATTTGCAGCAGAATTTGCTGCAGTATTTACGTCAGTGTTTACTGCAGTATTTGCAGCAGTATTTACATCAGTATATGCTGCAGTATTTACAGCAATATTTGGAGCAGTATTGAAAGCAGTAATTGCTTTAGTAATTGCTGCAATATTTGGTGCAATATTTGCCACAGTATCTGCTGCAGTATTTACAGCAGATTTCACAGTAGTATTTGCTGCAGTATTTAAAGCAGTATATGCAGCAGTATTTACAGCATTATTTGCTGCAGTAATTGCTGCAGCATTTGCAACAGCATTTTCAGCAGTATTTGCAGCAATATTTGCAGCAATATTTGCAGCAGTATTTCATGCAGTATCAACAGCAGTATTTGCAGCAGTATTTCCAGCAGTATTTATTGCGGTATTGCTGCAGTATTTACATCAGTATTTGCTGCATTATTTACAACAGTATTTTCTGCTGTATTTGCAGCATTATTAGCAGCAGTATTTGCAGCAGTATTTACAACAATATTTCCAAGAGTACAGCAATATTTGCAGAACTATTTACTTCAGTATTTGTTGCAGAACTTGCTGCGGTATTTGCATGAGAATTTACAACAGTATTTACAGCAATAATTGCAGCAGTATTTGCTACAGTGTTTACAGCAGTATTTGCAGAAGTACTTTCTACAGTGTTTGCACTAATATTTACAGCAGTATTTGCAG